AATGTCCCAATGCACTTCATTAACCATAGAAATTTTGTTTAAAAAAATACTCCAAATTACTTGCAAATCCGACACTTAAGCACTCAAATAATATATTTAGTCCATTAATGTACAAAATCATTTGCTTTTCAAATTAAATAAAGAGTTACATATTTACATTCATTCCTTTCCCACCTAACAATCCACACATTTGTTGAAGTCTCCTAATGCATCTTTAATCTGCGTATCCCTCCAACACCTTGTTGACTTAAAGTTCTAAATTGCAGAAAGATTTAAATTTGTCTGTAAATAATTAAACATAAAGAAATAAACACATATAGAGTATGTATATATCACATTACTCTTCCCTGAATTCATTCGTGCCCTTCTTTGAGACCGTCTGGTGAATCAATTTGGTACAATGGCATTGTTGCCATCTATGCATCAAACACTCTGTGTCATCGTCTCTAATCCATTCTCAAAGTTGGAGGAATCAAATCCTTCACTTCGTTGAAGAACTGTGCCCAGAAAGAATGTGAGCGGACAGGAATCTACCTCTACCATCAACTTTGAAAAGGCATTGGGAGTAGAGAGTGTAGTCATATTGGCACAATAAAAGGTGGAAAGCAAATACTGATCTGTGTAGACAAAAAATACTAAAAACAATAATACTACCTTGCAAGGGATTTGTGAAATTGATGAACTCTTTCTTTCAATTTGTACCAACTCCAGATCTTTTTCTTCACTTGGTTTTAACGCTTCTGCACACGTGCTTCCAAACTCATATCCCTCCTATTTTTTTATTGCAATTGAACCTATCAAAAAGTAACAGCAAAGTCACATATGAGTTTAGAAAGATAAAAAAACATTTTCAATCTTCATACTTTTCAAAGAGGATCATCAAACTATGGCCATCAACTAACCTTAAAGTTTTCAGCTTCTTCAGCATATTTTGATTTAGAAGCATATTATAAGAAAACTATTTCCTAATCAGTCATGATTCATAAACACTTTTAAAAAATCCTAATTGGTAACCATGTGCAAAAATAAAAGTAAACAATGAATGAACGTAATAATTAATGTGATTAATTTGTAAGAATGAGAAGTAGTATTTGATGAAATGTGCTATTAGCTATATTCATTCAACAAATTAGAGAACACTTCAAAAGAGAAACTTTCAGTTCACACTTTCACTTGATTCCTTAAACTCACTTAAGCAATAAAAGATAAAAGCAGAAAAAGCTAACCATTTACATAAAATCAAATAGAGAATGAGAAGCAATACCAAATGAGACATGGCTTCGAGCCTTGCCTAGTTGTTGCCACAAATCAAAGTTTACCACATTCTTTTTCTAAGTGGTGAAACAAAGAAGGCCATCATAATTCATATTCCTGCACATTGAACATATTTTATTTTTAAAAGTACTACGTAAATATTATTCTAGAATATCTCATATGAATTTGTACTGTAGATATTTTAAGCATAAAATGAAGGCAATGAAATAGCTTGAATTCTGGATTCTCAAAATTTGTTAAAGAAAAGTATAAACTTAAAGTTAAGCAAATACTTGAATATGACTTAAGGTGCTTGATGAATGCAAATACCTAACATTATTGAGAAGAAAGTAATTCTCATAATTACAATCACCGTGATAGAAAAATTTATAAAAAGTGTTCAAAACTGTGTAAATTTTTTGGTTGTAAAAATTGATACAAATGTTGGTTCCTAGAATCATATTATCCAATTTGATATGAAATGTATTACGATCTCAATACAAATAAATTGAAACAAATCATATTAATTGGTGTGAAGATAATACTACATATATCATTAAATATACCTCCCTATCACCTTCATCTTCACCAACCATCATCTTCACCAAGACACGTGCTCTTCTTCTTTAAGCCCTGGTGGTTTTTCAATGCGGGTTCTTAGACATTTGCTGGGACAGTGTTTTCTTCTTTCTCTTGCTTCAAGTCATCAAGCACTAATGGAACAAACATGAAAACTAAAGAAGATGATTTGGAATCTGCTCACCTCATATATGTAACTATATAAGATATCTTCTATGTAACCACTTATTGAATCCATTTCCTATAAGATATCGAAAACAAAATCTAATATTAACCGGCAATAATAAGTATAACCACCCACTCTACAATAATATGACTTCTTAGAGTGTCAGGTATCATTGTTAGATTTATTCAAAGGCCAAGCAAAAGTTTTCAAAACAAATAAAGAAATAAAAAGCTCAAAACCTCAAAATAAAAAATGATGCATGGATAGATACGTAGATATTATTAGATAGGTAGGTTCCATAGAGTGCAAGCTTAGACAAATAATATAATGAAGCAATTCAAGGACACACCGGCTTATATACAAATCAAGAGGTTGCTTCATCAAGATAAGTTCAATTCTTCCTTGCTCTTTCAACCCAAAATACTCTTAAATCTCTTGCAAGAAGCTTCATACATAACAAACTTTATGAACATCAAAAGTTATTGTCAACTGTAAAGGCCATTGACTACAATAAATTTGAATTAAATAGGAGAAAATTATAGGCAAGAAAATAAATATTCAAGCATGCACAACTATAAAAGCAAATGCTCAAAGTTTAAGACAGTTATAATAAAAAGATACAAACAACACTACGGAAGAGCCAAAGCAGGTTATCACACCACCAGATTAAAGAACATGCAACTTTTTTCTAATACTGTTTGGAATCCCAAGTGATAATCCAACTTTATCTTTGTTTTCTAGATTAGAATCCCAAGTGATAACCCTCCGAGTTCTATTTCTACACAAAAATAGAACTATGGAGAAGTCATGCATGTTGCTCAAATTTTTCAATAGCAGCAACCTTTGGATTTAACTTTGCAACCTAATGGCCCTTTGTCCATCAACTTCTTCTCTAATATTTGCCTCTCCCTCAAGTCTAAAAGCACTTGAAAAAAGAATTACAAATCAGAACTTTAACCTTAATTTTCTACTTGTGATTGGACAATACAAAGAAGATTAGCATGCCCTGTGCGAGGATAACATGGACAAATTGAGAAATGGTATGTTTTTTTACTGATTTTTCTATGCCTTTCTACTGTGTTTTGGGTTTCAACCTACAGATTTTGGATATTTGACTCCATTTAATAATATGCTAATTCAAAAAAATATTCTTTGTGATTAAAAATCAAGAAAAACCTAACACGCCAAAAATGGATTGATTAGTGTATACTTCAGGAAATGAATCTAAACAAACCCTATACTTATTTTGAGATGAAGCTACAAAATTGATGACATTAACAGGAAATTGATATGAAGATATATAGGAGTATAGATGGATTGAAACCTTAATAATGAAAATAATATATGAAGAAATTGATAAAATTCGGATGTACTGTACCCATTAGGTCAAAGTCGAGCAATGTTCCGATCGATTAATAACGAAAACATCCGCTTTCTCCTTCTTTCTCAAGCTGCAATTTCCGATTGATTAAGAACTTCAAACACGATGCACATCTGGTTAAAAAGTCCTAGATCTGGATGTGCTTCTTTAGTGGGTGGTTGAGAGTTGAGACTTGGACTGCGGTTTTTAACCCGAAATGGTTAACAGCAACCGACGTCGTATTGGTCGAGCGGGAAATTTCTCCTGCTGCTTTTATAAATAGGAGGATATTTGATTTCAGACAGCCGGTGCCCGGTTGTATTCAAATTCAATATGATCAAATTAGACTACTCTTTAGAAACAAGTTGATTATTGGTTTGGATTACTCAAATGAGATAACTGATTGATTTCAAATTGTTGATTTCAGAAAGCCGGTTGGCTAAAATCTGAGTTTGATTACACCTTAGAGGAATTTATTTAAATATCACTAAAACGTAATGACTTTCCCTAAATAGCACCACATGTGTTTTTCATACCCAATGTAGCACTTTTAGTCATTATGCATTAGTCATTATTCAAGCAAATATTCGTCATCACCGGACATTATGGACATTATTAAGTGCTATTTAGAAAATAAAACAGTTTAAGTGCTATTTAGGGAAATGACTTAAGTTTTAGTACTATTTAGTGCAAATATTTCATGATCTTATTGTGTTTTGACCTATTGACATTATAATGCCATTAAAATCGGAGTTTGATTACACAGCCAGTTGTGAATTTTGTTCTTTTTGGAACCTATTGACATTATGATTCCAAAATGTGGTTGTGTTCTTTTTTTGTTTTTGTTTGTAATCATGGGGTGTAGACTTTACTGTTACGCCCCTCTTTGTCATTGTTTTGTCTTCATTTAGGTTTTTTTGTGTGTTGGATAACTTAAAATTGACTATGGGGGTAGTACATTGTTGTGGACTAATGGTGAATGACCATGTATATATTATTAATTTATTATCATTTTATTTTTTAATAAAAACAAGCCGAGTACGGTTTATACAAATCTTGGCTCGGACCGGCCCGTGCCCACCCCTAGAGACTATAGTTGGGTACTCCTTATCATCTGTCGCAAAATATGAAAGTACATTTCCTTCTCCCATGGTTTCGACCAACATCGTCTTACTTTTTTTATTCTGTTTCAAAATAATTATCCTACTTTGTTATTTACCTAATAAAGTTAAAAAAATTGCGGCATATAGTCTTTTTCTTTATTTTAAATAAATTGCAATCACTCACTTTTTATTTTCCAATACTTTTCTTAAATTTTATAAAATTAAATTAGAATGATTAATTTGGGACACCTCGTAGACAGAGGGAGTCATTATAGGGGTATGAATAAGTATGATCACATAACCCCTGCTCAAGAAAGAAGCCGGTTTCCATGACATTGGTTCCTAATGTCATGTGATGATTTGGGAGTGTTCCGATGTTTCCTTCGTAAAATTGATAGTTCCTACTCCAATAAATCCTCTCACCCATCCTGAACCGAACTTACACCTCCACTTCTTCAATTACAATCCCCAAGTTAATTTTGATTTTGGAGTAAAATTTTGAGACAAATATAAAAAAATAGTGAAGTTTCGGAATATTTCCGTGATTTTTACCCTTCCACATTTAGCCTTTACTTATTCTCCTCCGCTCGCTCCCCACTCCACTTCCCCTTCTGGGAACTCTCCCCTCAACATCTCCTTCATCTCCGGCCGCTCTGTGGTTCCCCTCCGGGAGTTCTCGACCTACTGGTATTCCCGTCCGCAGTGTGCGAGGCATGGTTTATCTCCTCATTCTTTGTCCAATTAGGTTTATTTTTACTTTTTTTAGAAATCTTTTTCTCTGATTTACTTCCAAAGCCAATCGTCCTTTTCTCTTGAGATTTGTTTCAAATTCATCATTCTCGTTTTTCAAGTGCTTTCTTGTATCTTTTCAATGATTGAATCCAAAATCTGAGGTTTGAATCTCGTGCGTGTAAGCTACGGATCGAATTGTTCAAGTTGCAGAAATCAATGTTTTATTATATTTAATTTTACTACTTGATAATTAAATGATTAGTATTTGTCTAAAAATGATACTCAATCTGCCGCATTGTATAGCTCTGAGAAGATGCAAAACCCTAGTTTTGGATCCGTGGAACATCTTCGGGTGCGAAAATTAGAAATGGGTGACAAGGGCAAGGGCTTTATCGAACTGTTAAGGCAATTAACCGTGTGTGGAGCTATGGCGGACGAAGAATTCAAGGAAAGGTTTGAAGAACTGGCAAAATATGGGGATGACCATGTAATATGCGTGATCGAAGACATGGTTTCTGGGAAAATTGTTGCCACCGGGAGTGTTTTTGTGGAGAGGAAGTTCATCAGAAACTGTGGGAAGGTTGGTCACGTTGAGGATGTGGTAGTTGATTCGGGTGCTCGTGGGATGCAGTTAGGGAAGAGGGTCGTTGAGTTCTTGACCGACCATGCCCGTTCGATGGGGTGTTACAAGGTGATTCTTGATTGCAGTGAGGAGAATAAGGCATTCTATGAGAAATGTGGGTTCAAGAAGAAGGAGGTTCAGATGGTCAAGTATTTCATTTCATGATTGATACTCCAATCAGGTATGGTTGCTACACAACTCTTCTTCATACATTGTTTTAGCAGTGATGTTTTGTCTTCATGGTTTCTCGGCTTAATTTATGGTCCTAATGTGGTTGATTTAATGATTGTAGTCCTCAAATACAATAATGTACTTTATTGTCTGATGAACTTCTGTAACTGTTTGAGGAATCAAAAAATGCATGATAAAACAATGTATCCTCTGCTTGCTATAGCAATGAGATTTTTTTTTACATAAGACTTCATTTTCTTGAAAATTTTACTTTTTTTTCAAGTTTAAAGAGATATAAGGCCTAGTGTTTGTTTTGCAAGGGTCATGGGGTGGAAGAGATGGAGCTCTTACTCAAGGAGATATGGTATGGTACACATTCCCTGAGGACCTCCAAAATTTAGATACATAACGGGGTTTAGGGGGGTGAAATCATCAATTTTGCGAAGTGTTTCATGTCATATTATGACACTAATGGCTAATGTCAAAGGATCTTTACCCATCTTATAGTATGTGTATCAAGTAAACATGAGAAACTAGTTTTAGAAGGGTGCCAGAAAAAATTTTACACTTCTGGTATGTTGTACACTTAATTGAGAACAACGTTATCGATTAACTTTGATGTGTACATTAACTTTGAAATGTTACAACTAAAAGTTGTTCCTAGATAGTTTTTTTTAAATGTTAGTCCAAACATGCTCTTAATATTGTTGGGTCCTGCCTAGTCTTAATTTTCTTTTCTTTTGTTTTTTTTTGTTTTGAAAATACTTGTAGGCCGGTTTTGATAGTAACATATAACCATGTTTGTTGGATGTATAGAATTATTTGTACTATATAGTCTATACAATGCATTTAAGCGCTAGTTTGAAGCCATGACTCAAACCGAACACACTACATTGTACCTAGTACTTTTTTTTGTTGAATAAACTTCCTTACTACTCTATAAAATAAAAATTGAAGATTTTGGGCTGTCCATAAAAACTGCTCATGTAACATTCACTAGAATGTCATAAGATGATTGGGGCTACTTATGATGCTTCGTTCAAAAAATTGATGATTCTTACTCTCAATAACCCACCCTTCCTCCTGACCCTCTTGTTCGCCGATTTACAACAATGAGGGGGCCAGGGGTTGGGGGTGCAGAGAGAGGGTTAAAAAGAGTAAGAACTATCCACTTTTTTAATAGAGCACTGTACGAGGTCTGAGTTATCCTATGACATTGCTATCAATGTCACAGAAACCGTGACGAAATAGAATAATATGGACCTTCTACAGTGTTCTATTGTGTTATTGTCGTCTTAAGATCTATATGTGAAGTATGAAGCTTTTCACATATTTTTAAAAGTTCATAATAATTGAATCTTTTTTTAAATCTTTGTTTACAAAACTTAATACAAATTAATCATTTTATGCTTTAAGATTTATAAAATGAGTATAAACTTAATGAACACCATAGAATTTGCCCAATAAATAAGGAAACGGGTTCCAAAAAAGAACATGTCTATATTTGGAAATTGGTGCACGCTTTTTGAGAAAATGTTTTGGTTCAATCAAAATGCGTATCTTCAAGGACCCATCCCATATAATTTGGGGAATAAAAACAACATGTCTACATTTGGAAATTTAACGGACGATGCAGATTAATTATATGCGGAGTATTAAAATTATTTTGTGTTTTTTATTTTTAAAATTCATTTCATAATAAAATATAATAACATTACCTCTTATTTTCTAAATTTTTTTAATATAGTTTTAAATATATAAACTTCATTTTTAAATTTTATACTACGTACTTATAACCAAATAAATTTTTATACTACGTACTTATAATTAAATAAATTGAATTGAAAGTAAATCATAAACCAAAATGAGAACAATTATGAAAAGACAAAGTATTAATTGTTTTGGATGTTCAAAAGAATGTATGCTCAAAACAATAATTACTAGTAAAAGATTGAAAAAAATATATTTAGAATTTAGAAGAAGGATTGACTCCAGTCAGATGACACCTTACGGTGAGATGATATGCTATGGTCAGATGACGCAAAGCTCACCACTGGCCACTGCAAAGCTCACCAAGAATAACTACAAAGCTCACTAAACTGTATGGCAAAACTCACCATTTTTTTTCATCACTTTATTTTTTTTTGAAAAAAATAAAATCAAAAGAAGGGGTGCTGACTAGATTTTCACCGTTGACCGCCGCTTGCCGACTGCCGCCACCACCGGACGCCGCTGCTGATCAGTGGTTGACCGGTGTTGCTATTTTATTTTTAATTAATTTTTTAATTTTCAAAGTTAAAAAAGGTGAGTTTGGTGTTCAAAGTGGTGAGCTTTACTTTATTTTCAAGTGAGCTTTGCATTGACCATTGGTAAACTTTAGAGCACTGGTAATGGTCATGAAGCCCCGGGGCTTCAAACCTTCTTTCTCTGCCACGTCAGCTTTAACTTACATCCAAAATTCACTGGAAATGGGTTTGAAGCCCCGAAGCTTCAAACTGGGGCTTCAAACCTTCATTTTTTACATTTTTAAATATACATCTTCTAAAATTAAATTAATAACATTTTATCAATTAATTGAATTTAAATGAAAATAAATTATTAAATAAAAAAATCAATAAAAGGTAAATTAACCAAATAAGATTTGAGTAATGAAAACAAAAATATAAAAAATTATATTACTTTATGAAGAAATTACTGATTATTCGAGCGACTAAAAATATCTTCATTCAAATCGGGGTTGTAGTAACATATTGCAAACTGAAATAATACATTAATTAAAAAATACAATCAATAAAAAAGTATGTTAAATTTAAAAAACAACAAAAAAAATTACATTACGAAAGAAAATTTAAACAAAAAAATATTACATTAAACAATAAAATATAGAGTAAAAAAATTATGTTTGTGTTTGTTCTATTTTTTTTAAAGAGAAAGAATATAAAGAGTAAAAAAAATATTTAGTCTTATGGCATTTATGTAATTTTTTGTTGTTTTTTAATGAATGAAGCCCGTGAAACGTTTGAAGCATAAAGGATGAAGCCCCTTTGAAGCCCCAGGGGGGCGGTGTTTGCTGCCCCTTTGGCGTTAAAATGGGCAATAACGCCCCGGGCGTTATGCCCATTACCAGTGCTCTTAAGTGTAATGTGGTGAGCTTAACGTAATCTCATCGAAACATGTCATCTTACCGTACGGTGTCATCTGAGTGGAAATAATGTTATACATACTCCCTTGTCCCAAAAAGGTTATTACAGTCTGAGCTTCATCGTCAAATTGTTACACAATTTGACTATAATTTAAAAATTAATTTTTAACAGTGAAATGTTATAAAAATTTGACATATCAAAACTATATTGTTAAACGAACCTAATTTTACTAAATTACATTATAACTAAATATACTTTTATCACAATTTATGATCAAAGTGTTATGCAATTTGACAAAAAGTCAAATTATGATAATCTTTTTAGGACGGAGCGAGTAAGATTTTTTGAGACTTCTTAATTGAATTGTTTGTTTAGTATTCATAGTGTCAAATTTTATTCACTTTATTTCTCTATTTTTGTTAGTCATTTGATAAAATAATATAGTAATGTCATCATTAATTTTGTAGATCTTTTGATGTAGTTTTTAAATATATAGTTTTTACTTTTTAATGCTACATCATTTTTATATAAAATGATTTAAAAATTACTTGAGTCAAGCATCTTAAACTAAAGCAGACTATTAAAATTAGAATGGGAAAAGTATAGATTTAATAAAATGAGTAAAAAAATGATTTTGAAATAATGAATTGAGATAATTCATTGGGGAGGGAGAAATCATATGATAGCTATGCTTGTTGCGGGAAGTGGCAGATATGTCCTTGGGTCACGCGAATGCTAACCGTTGGTTTGTAAAGTACAACCGTTAATTCTGACAAATGCAGGGGCATTAACGGAAATCGTCAACTTGAACGCTCGTTAACTGCTCTTGCTATAAAAACGACAATTCGTTTCCGTCCAAATGACAGCGGAATCACTCTCTTCCACACACAGTCCACACTGAGCTCAGAGCGGCGATCGGCGACGTAATGGCGGCTGCGATCGGAGCTCTATCGTCGCCGTATGCCGGCGTCAGCCAGAGGATCGACGGCGCTGCTTCTAGCAAGATGTCGCTCCGGGGACTGTCCTTCTCTTCCTCTAATCTCGCCGGCGGCAGGTTGAATTCGTCGCCTTCCCGACGGCGGATCCGTTCCGGAGAGAAATCGCCGGCTGTAAGGACTGTTCCGTTCATCGTTTCTCCTAAAGCCGTTTCTGATTCGCAGAATTCGCAGACTTGTCTAGACCCTGATGCTAGCAAAGTAAGCATTCAATCGTTTCAATTATGCGATTTCTCGTTTTAACTGAAAAATCTATATATGGAATTACATGTATTGCATTTACACAATAGACATCTGTGATGGTATTTTTGGATCAGAATGACTGTTATGAGATTAAAATGCTGAATTTCATTAGAATTTCATGAAAATTGTTTTCCATGGCATTGGAATGTGTGCCCATCATTGCTTCAGCTTGAAGTATGTTTGTTGTGAGTTTCCAGATCTAACTGAGTAAATGATACTCTGCATTCATCAACTATTGCTTTTGGCATCACAGTCAGCTGTTAAAGATGGTATCAGATCTGTATACATCACAGAAATTGCAATTAAAAACAAATACTAGAAGAAAAAAGTTTAAGTGTCTGTTTGTTCCCCAATAAAGCTGAGCGCTTTGTTTGTTCCAGACAAAAAGGTCGTGAAATTCTTTGGTAAAGTACGGAGTAATGTTTAAGTTACTCTAACTTGGGAACAATTATCAATCATTGATTTTACTGTTTTGAAAAAAAATAAACATGCAGACATCTTTACATCATGATTTCAAGACTACAGAGACTAATTCCATATGAATATTGAATTTTTATGACTTTCTGTGTGCTTAATCTATCAGAGTGTCTTGGGTATTATCCTTGGAGGTGGTGCTGGAACCAGGCTCTATCCTCTTACTAAGAAGCGGGCTAAGCCTGCTGTTCCACTTGGAGCAAATTATCGCTTGATTGATATCCCCGTGAGCAACTGCTTGAACAGCAACGTTTCCAAAATCTATGTTCTCACACAATTCAACTCAGCGTCTCTTAATCGTCACCTTTCACGGGCATATGCAAGCAACTTGGGTGGATACAAGAATGAAGGTTTCGTTGAGGTCCTTGCTGCTCAGCAAAGTCCGGAAAATCCCAATTGGTTCCAGGTATTTGGTCATTTGAGTTTTTTTAGGTCGAGGATCATATTTATGAATACCAAGCCCTGAAACTGGATTTCTCATGAGTATGTCTGGATTTAAATGTGACATGATAAAGAACCATACAGGTGTTATGAATAAGTCCATAATGCCATAAAGTGACATGGATTCCTATTATCTGACAGGGTACTGCTGATGCTGTGAGGCAATATCTTTGGCTTTTTGAAGAGCATAATGTTCTAGAATTCTTAATCCTTGCCGGTGATCATCTATACCGAATGGATTACGAGAGGTTCATTCAAGCCCACAGAGAAACAGATGCAGATATTACTGTTGCTGCATTGCCAATGGATGAGCAACGCGCCACTGCTTTTGGTCTCATGAAGATTGATGAAGAAGGGAGGATCATTGAATTCGCAGAGAAACCAAAAGGAGAACAACTAAAATCTATGAAGGTAAAAAAATAAAAAAGAACAAGAAATAAGCCGTCCACGTGCCTATATAACTAATAGGGTTAGAGTTCTAAACAGTTCTATATAGAAAGAGGAATAACTTGTTCATATCCTTTCAGGTTGATACCACCATTCTGGGTCTTGATGACGAGAGAGCTAAAGAGATGCCTTACATTGCAAGCATGGGAATTTATGTTGTTAGCAAAGATGTAATGATTAATTTACTTAGAGATAAGTTCCCAGGAGCTAATGATTTTGGAAGTGAAGTTATTCCTGGTGCTACCTCCCTTGGATTGAGAGTATGTGCCTTCCCTCTCTCTTGAAATCATTATGCAAAGTAGTATTCTGCAACAGACATTTGTAGATGTGTTAGTACTGTGAGATGTATTGATTAGTAATTTCATGAAAAGCTACTGTCAATATGTGCAGGTGCAAGCTTATTTGTTTGATGGCTACTGGGAAGACATTGGTACAATTGAAGCCTTCTATAACGCTAATTTGGGGATTACAAAGAAGCCAGTGCCAGATTTCAGGTATTGTAGACTGCTTTTTTGCGCAGTGCTTTGTTAATTTAAAACACTAAACAGTTTTCAATGTCTTCTTGAAGTTTCTACGACCGGTCGGCTCCAATTTACACGCAACCTCGATATTTACCACCTTCTAAAATGCTTGATGCTGATGTCACAGACAGTGTCATTGGTGAAGGTTGTGTAATCAAGGTATCTGAGCTTTCAAATCTTTTTAAGGATTATAATGTGTCAGCACTACACTGTGAATCGTGATCAACCACACCTTTATATCTATATGGATAATAATTGCTAGCTTGTTTGTGATGCAGAACTGTAAAATTCACCACTCCGTGGTTGGACTTAGATCATGCATATCAGAGGGTGCCATTATAGAAGATACATTGCTGATGGGGGCGGATTACTATGAGGTAACTAGTAATCCATGTTGGATTTTTTTTTTTTGCAAGGGGACACAATATTGTTTTAGTGGTTCTCTGGGTCATGTGCTCTTTCTTATTATGTGATTCAGACGGATGCTGAGAGGAGGCTTCTGGCTGCAAAGGGAAGTGTTCCAATTGGGATTGGCAAGAACTCCCACATTAAAAGGGCAATCATTGACAAGAATGCACGTATTGGCGATAATGTTAAGGTGAGGAATCGAATAGCCCCACGCCTGGTTTGATTTGGAAGTTTTAATTATAATATACACTTTTCATTGCAACCATGAATACATATCACCTAACCATGAATGAGCTAACATGAGTTTTGTGATGATGCATATGTATATATGATCACCAGATCATAAACGGTGACAATATCCAAGAAGCGGCGAGGGAAAGCGATGGATATTTCATCAAGAGCGGGATTGTGACAATCATCAAAGATGCATTGATTCCCAGTGGCACCATCATATAAGAGACTCTATACGTGCTAGAGATCAGATGTGTGACTTACTACTGTTTCCAGGTACACACACTACTACCTCAACACATCATCATCATCTCCCACCAAAACACCCCTGCCCTGCACTAATAAGGGGTTCCTTGAAATCCCTTTTTGCTTGCCTTGGTTACCTTTCAAAGTCTTGTTTTTTTTGTGTACATTATCATCGTGTAACTCCTCATGAGAGAGATTCTTTATGTATTCTGTTAGCATTTAGTTTGAATTTGAGAAGTAATAAATCATCATCATCATGGTTTTGTGTTTTTCTTTCCATGATTTGTCTTTTGTCCTCCCTATGTTTTAGATGATGGTAAAATACAAAAGCACATAACTTGGCCATAAGTGGTGTTTTATTTAAATTAATTAGAGTAAATTTCATAATTGGTCATTTATAACATGAGTTTCCATATTTAGTAGTATTCTATTACTCCCTCCGTCCCCCATAGATCTTCTCAATAGTCCTTTTTCTTTGTCCACAATAGATCTTCTCATTTCATTTTTTAACAATTAAAATACCATAACTACCCCACTTACTTTATTTATTATTACACCTCATTTAATACACTCCACCCATATTTCATTAAGGGTATTATGGTAAACTTTCACTTTTTTCAACTCTCCTTAAAAACCACCAAAAGTCAAAATGAGAACATCTTAGAGGGACGAAGGGAGTATCAAATATTACCTCTGTAGTCTTTTTATGAGTGCCTTTCCACAAATAATACTTTTTTTATCTTTTACTATGTTGATGTCAATTTAAGGCTAAAAGTGTAATTTGACATCAACCTTAGATCCTGTGACGTAATTTGATAGTTATTAGATGGATGACACCAAAACAATGACTATGATTGCGGGCTGAGATTCCGCCGAAAGACCTTATATATGTAGACTATGGTTGTAGTATAAACTATAAAGTAATTGTAATTCACAAACGACTTATCAAGAGTGGCCTTTGGAACAGTGAATGACAAGAAACATATAATTGTAATTGTGTATCAAATCAATTTAATGCATCATATCGGATATAATTATATTCTTCTTATTAAGAAGATGGGCGTACTTTTGTTTATAATAAGGAATTGTGTTGTTAATAATTCCATTTGTTAAAACTTGTTTTTCGTAAATTGACCAAATGTTATTTGTAGAATATATGTAGTAAAGATTATTCTTGAGCCTACAACTATAAGCTTGAGCGTTTGGCTAAATTAGTTTCTTAATATATGAGATCATAATTTTGTTGACCAGAACTCCCCATCACCCATTTTTCTTTTAAAAAATTAAGGTTTCACCGACTCACCATTCACTTGCAAAGCTTGAAGAGATCGCACTTGCACGTGAGGAGACGTGTTAGGATATTAAAACATTTACTTTAGTTGGTTCTTTAACGTTTATAACTATAGCAATCTTTTCATTCTACTATGACAATTTGGCCATTTTTGAGTAAAGTATATCAGAAATTATTTTGTTCTTAGCTAAATTAAAAGATACTCGTAAATTCATGGCTTTAGTCTTTTCTCTTTTGTATCATTATAAAACAATTTTAGACTAAGAGCACCAGTAACGGCGTGGAGATGCATTCCCACGCGCTGCCACCTTAGCCTCTTTGGATGTTTGCCATGCATGGAGATAGAATTTCTCTTCTCTCGCCATGTCATTCCCGAGCCTTCTTGTTCCTCTCTTTTTTATTTTGGGAAGAGAGACTTTTTAAATGATTTTTTTAAAGAAAGTATACCCTTTATTATGATAAAATAATTAACACAAATAATTTCAAATAATCAAAATATTTAATGAAAAGTGACAAAAAAACTATTGTCATTTTATTTTTATTTTTATTTTTTTGCATAAAAAAGAAGCTTTTTTTAAAAAAAAGTAGAAGTATTTTTATGAAAAAAAAGATAAGTTAAATAATTTTGAGTTAATAGAAATATTTTTAAGATAAAATAAATAGGTTAAATAACTTCAAATAATTCAAATATGATAAAAAAAAATAAAAAAGAGTAATTAAAATAACGATTTGCCACTGCAGAATATATCACTCCACTTACTGACTGATTGATTTAAATGTTCCGCGTCAGCGTGTAGCATTCTATTTTTGTTTCACCATTGCTCTTATTCTAAGCGTAATGATCGTCCTAGCCCATATGGCGTCTTCGCACACCTCCCCCCACGGTGCTAGGCGCAAAGAAGAAGATGCGCTATCCGTAGAGCAACGACTCCCACTTCTCTCTCCTTGCTCCAACCAATCATATTTTTACATCTCACTTTACTTACATTTAATTTAGTTATAAAATATAAAAATACATAAATTCTCTCAATCTCAATTTAAGTTGAATGTTCACTATTCACATTATTAAACTTGAATCACTTTTTTTATTCATTTTTGTTACAGATTTGATTTATTTACATTGTTAAACTTTAGTCATGTCACCCCCTATTTTGTAGAACACTTTGGGGCATGTTTGTTTTTTAATTTTGCACAATTTTTCAAATAAATTGAGTTGAAATACAAAAACAAACAATTGAATGGATTGAAGAAAATTTTGAAATCCTATAAGTTCGTTGAAATGAACAATGGAATACTGCAACTCTCAATGGATTTTGTTGCCACACCGTATTTTTAACAATAAATTTTCTTCTTGACAAAACGCCACCTGAACCGTAAGGACACCAAGAAGAAGGTAGCTAGCATCCTTACAGAGATTATATTTTTTGATTTTCTAAACACTCCGTAGTACTCCGTAATAAGTATTTCCTCATAAAAAGGAAAAGATTCAAAGTATCAAAACATCGATATCTTTAAAAGTTTATAAACCAAAAGAAAGGTGGTGTATTTATCCGTCTTTACTAATATCGTAGACCAATCCACAAGATTATTAAAATTTGAAAATCTATCATCTCAGGTCTCCAATTGATTCTGTAATTCTTTGGCAAGAACTTGAGAGAACTCATTAGGATAAAATTGGGATAATCTCATCCATTTAGCCACATCAAAATTATAGAAAGGACCACGAGGGCTCAAACAAGCCACACAACGGAGCAATTCCATATTTACTTCATTAAAGCGTGTTGGTAAACATTATATATTTTGATGATGATGTATTTAGATTGTAATAGAGACTTTAGCTCACCCCCAATATACAATGTAATTTTCTTTTTAGAAATATTGTTAAAACCGAGTTCTTAAGATTTCCGATAAAACTTGTGATATTTCATTTTGTGGTTTGATTTCACACATTGAAGACTTAAAAAATTTAGTGATGTGGAAATTAGAATTCTCGCTCAGAAATGTCAGAGACAAGAAAGGAATTCTCAAAGAAGTTTGCTTACTTTGAAATTCTAAGAACCGGAATGCTCATTGATAACCGGAAGTCTCGCCACAACCCGCTGAAGGCTAAGTCATCCGGATCGGAAGACTAGCGTGGATTACTTTCTCACCGCAAAGTCTAAGAATGACTTATCCGGAACTGTCAAGCTAAGAACCGGATGTCTCAAAGAAGACCGGAATTCTCATAAGCGGACAAGTGAGAAAAGACTTAGAAAATTCTTCTAAGTCATGAATGAAGAAACTCTACCCGTTGGTAAGGAAAAATCAATCTCTTGATTTTCAACAGCTAGATTGAGGATAATTAAGTTGATTCAAGGACAAATTGCATGAAGACAAAGACTGGACTCCTCATATTAAAAAGCTCGGCCAGAATTCTTGAACAAACACAATAAGACAAAATGGGTACTCCACTCAATAAAGAGCTACCGTCCAGAATTCTTGAACAAAAGCTAGAGGACGAATCCTGTGGAAAAGGAATCCCTCTTCAAACAATTGGGTGTGTCCAAACACCCACTCCAAAGGAGAATCCTCAATCTCACTCTTCGTTTAAATTGAAGCCAGCAAATGCAACGGATAGTGCTTTAGAAAAATGACTTGAGTTTTAGTGCTACTTAGTGCAAATATTTCTATACGGTAACGTACCGGAAGAAACAGCACCTCATCCGCCCCCAAATCAAAAAAAAGGTTTTAAAGGAATAGTCGGTGGGCTTCTTTCAAAAAAGGGAAGCGTGCTCAGCCTTCAACGAGTTCAGGTGGTACAACTGTCAGCTCGCACAACGAACTTGCTATGTACCAAGGGGTTCCATGAAATCACGACGACGTGGAGTTTGACGTCCTCGGATGGTGGAAGCGGAATGAACACATGTTCCCATGTCTCGGAATGCTAGCAAGAAAAGTTTTATCCATCCCGGTATCAACTGTAGCAGTGGAACAAGAATTCAATGCTGGCAGAAACATTCTAACCGACTACCAAAGTTGTCTTAGCGCTGAATCTCTTGAAACACTTGTTTGCAACCGAGATTGGCTCTTGGCAAGACGTCGAGCTCAAGAGTCAGCATACAAATTCAATTCCAAACATTACATGAATGCAACCACAGATGGAAACCCTAATTCTAAGGAATAAGTAATTATAAACTTTTTTTTATGTTATTGCAGATATGTAAATTGTAATTAGTTTTTTAGGTGAGCGATATATAAGCTCCTTCGAGGGTTTCTTTACGATTCTTTACCTCGTCGCTTTTTTTGAACCGTTAGGATATTGAATGTAGTTGTTCCTCAGTTCGTGTATTACGCATTTTACAATATTTAAATAACAACTACATTTTTAGATTTTATATTTCATTATTTCCTTTAACAATTACACATTTACAATTTTACACTTTTAAAAATTTAAAAAAAAAGCAAAAAAATAATAGGGGGTGGCTGAAACCGGCGGTCCGGGTACTGGAACCGGTACCGTCCGGTCTGGTCACGGTACCGGTTCCTAAGGGTGGCGGTACCGGAACCGGCGGTTCCGGAACCGGAATCGTACCGTGTCCACCCCTAATTTTGAGTGGCCACAGAAGCCACAATTATCCTACGGTGCTTCTTTTGTAAAACTGATGATTCCTACATCTTCTAACCTCTTGATATAACTTCCGCCCAATCCCGACCTTAACTCATCCCTTCACCTACTTCAATTGCATCTCGCAAGTAGAGTTGACTTAAAATCTAAAATGTTAACTTCAAAAGTCAACTTAACTTTCGATGCACAATTGAGTTGGGTGAGGGATGAGTTAAGGTTGGGACTTGGTAGGGGACCGGGGTATACCGGGGGATGGGAGGTTAGGAGGGGTAGGAACAATTAATTGTACGAACGGAGCACCGTAGGTGTCTAAATCGGGTCAGTGGCTTCCGTGGCCACTGAAACCTATAGGCCATAGAACCGGATCGTATGTTTAATAGGTAGATCCGAGTTCGATTTCTGGTAACAGGATTGGGAGGTCAGTAAGCTAAGCAAGTACCAGGTGGTGCAGACTTCATTCCCTG